CAGACCGTAAAGCAGTTGTGTCGTGGACGATGAATTGTGTGACTGATGGTTGATGGCTGTGTAAACTCTTAGTGATCCGTTCTTTTTCACGAAACGAAAACCGATGTGCGCTTGCGTGTGAACAGAATACAGCGAAATGTATCATGCATTGACACAATTGTGGTGATTTGTGTTGACGGCAGCGTCCACTTTCGGTGCCTGGTTCTCATGTTTCACGAAGCGCAGTGCAACAATCCCGTGCTTGAGGACAGAGCAGACGAAGGAGCACTCACACACAGACTTGCGCGTCGAATGCACCAGAAACCCGAGAGAAAACAGCCAGAAACAGATTTTCCGGGTTTTTGCCGCCGTTTTTCGCGCGAACGCGTGAACGGATTGGAGGCTCGAAGCAACCTCTTCCTCGCAGTGACCCCCTCCACACATATCACAAAGCAGATCTTGAAAAGACCCCCTAGAAAAAAAGTTGATTCCACGGCCGTGAAACTGGGGCTGTATAACCACCCTCCAGCTCAGCTTTCAGCTTAGAGCAAGATCCGTGAAACTGATCTGAGCTGTCGTATGCATAGAACATTGCATCTGTTGTGGTGTTGGCATACGCTATAGGCAGTCGAGCAGTATTGAACAAGCTCGAATCGAGAGCTCTCTTGAATACAGTGCGCAAATTGAACGGATGCAGTCAGACCATTGGTGTCCACACTTTGCCTTGTGAGAAACAGTCTTGAAACACTCGAGGGATGGAATCGGAATGGTCAATGCACGAACTGAATCCTTGAGTGGCAAATACGTGGTCGAGGGCGGATTTTGTCATCAGAATACCTGCATTCAGGTTTTGAACCAGGGTCCCCCTTGTAATGTTGCAGGGTGACTCAATTCAGTGCATTGACTCACTCGAATCTCCCTGTCAATGATGATGGATAACGCTTCGCTAGCAAAGGGAGGGAAGGCCCTTCAGCGTCGCAGCGGCGCAATAGTATGGAACAATGGGAAATGACGTTGAGAATCGGAGTTAGAGTCTCGTTAAATGACTCCTGCGGCCCAAAGAGCGAGAAGGCCTCGCGCCCTGGGCGAGAGACGAACGGCCCTAAGGGCGAGAGCAGTCGCCCAAGGGCGCGCCATTTGGCCATTACGATATATTCCGATCATCCCGACGAAAGTGCCGATTCGTTGATCTCTTCGGTACTTGTCGATTTTTCACTGATTCCAGCCATCCCCATCCCTTCAGTGACTCGTACCTAACGACTGTGAAGCTGCCTGCTTGATTGTTGAAGAAGGAAGTCAAACCAACCAAGCCCAAGGAGTCAAGGCGTGCCAAGAAACAGACGGAGAGCTGTGTTGCCGAGGTTGCTGGCCTCAGCAGTTGTCGTGAGTGAGTGAGTGAGTGAGTGTGTGTGTCAGTCGTGTCAGAGCCTGCCGTCGTCAGCAGGTGTGGTGCAGTGCCGTGTGTGACTGCTTGTGACCTCGTGAGACCTATGTACACGACAGCTCAGATCAGTTTCACGGATCTTGCTCTCAGCTTTCAGTGGTTATACAGCCCCAGTTTTCCGGCGACAAACCAACTTTTTTTCTAGGGGGTCTTTTCAAGATATGCTTTGTGATATGTGTGGAGGGGGTCACTGCGAGGAACGAGTTTGCTTCGAGCTTCCAATCCGTTCACGCGTTTGCGCGAACAACGGCGGCAAAAACCCGGAAAATCTGTTTCTGGCTGTTTTCTCTCGGGTTTCTGGTGCATTCGACGCGCAAGTCTGTGTGTGAGTGCTCCTTCGTCTGCTCTGTCGTGAAACACGAGAACCAGGCACCGAAAGTGGACGCTGCCGTCAACCCAAATCACCACAATTGTGTCACTGCATGATACATTTCGCTGTATTGTGTTCACACGCAAGCGCACATCGGTTTTCGTTTCGTGAAAAAGAAGAACGGATCACTAAGAGTTTACACAGCCATCAACCATCAGTCACACAATTCATCGTCCACGGCACAACTGCTTTACGGTCTGTTCGTACGCAAGCGGCCGTCGCTTTTCGCGTTGCAAACGAGACCACAGCGGTTGAAAAGCCTCCACCGCTATTTCCACCGCAATCTCCTTGGACACGCTCCAAGGTCGATCTGGTTGATGAAAATATATGCGTGCGCACGGACGCTGCCAGAGACGAGTCTGCTTCTAGTCGCAATTGCGCCCTGTCGTTCGGGTAAAAGGTGGCGACCACTAGTGTCGGATACACGGAATTCGGCGATCGTGCTGATTTCTTTCGGGACTCTCATTCATTTGACGCAAAAGCATGTATGTCTGATACATCCCGTCATGCTGTGTGTGAACGCCAGCGGCCAGTGCCCTGCGCCGTGTTGAGAAAGAGAAGCAGCGACCGAACGTCGGCACAGCTGTGGGGTGTACGTATACCTTATGGAGGGTACACATTCG